CAGGGGGTGGGCGGGTCGAGGCGGTGGGCGGTGGGAACACCTGGTGTGTTAACCCGCGCCGCACCGGCCTCTCTGGAGCGCCATCCCGAATGGTCGGGGGAGCCCAAGACGAACGGGACTTGGAGGCGAGGCGGGGGGGCGGCGGCTCCTCCCGGGGGGGCGTCTGCGGCGCCCTGTCTTTCCTCTGGGGGACGCCGCGTCCGCTCCGAGACTCCGGGCGCCGGGAAGCCGCGGGTGGGAGCCGGTCCGCTGCGCCGACCGAGCTGCCCGGGCGAGCTCGGCGTTGTGCGAGCTGATGTGTCTGTGCTACCAGCCTTAGAGATGCCTCCCACCCCTGTGGCTTCTGCTGAAGCGCGTTGTATTTAGGCTAAAAAGAAAAAAAATAAAATAAAGGTGAGGAGGATGGCTGTCCACCCGATCAGAATATCCACAGTTTTCACGTTGTGCAGTTTGAAAACTTGAATCCATTCCCACCATTCCTCTTAATACACGAGTCATCCTTGTGTTGGGAACTGTTGTGCATGTGATAGGTTCGCAAGTACCTGCAGATTTTGATCGACATATTTGAAGGTCAGACAATTGTTTCCTTTTTTTCAACTTTTAGGGCCTATTTTTATCCCTTAACCTAAGTTGATTGCTGTTCTAGACCTGGAGTTGGATCTAAAATGTAAATTGTATCCCTGCCTCAAGGAGCTCACAGTATTTGCTCTACTCGAATTTGTGACTACCGAATACAAACCAAAGACAGTATTTAGCAAGCTCCGTGAAGGTAGGGATCTCATCTGTTTAGAATATGGTGGGTGCTTAATAAATAATTATATAAATAGCTAGGGATTCACTGCCTTTTACAAAAATCCAATATTTTCACTTGTATTCTGCAAATATTTGTTTTTATTAATAAAAATAATACAGCAACTGTATTATGAGGCTAATTCATGTTTTACTTGTGGCTTTCTGATTCCTACATTTTCCCCACAAAGTCAAGCCTTTTCCCTTGTATTGATAGTGTTTTATTTTTCTCTTCCTCGAAATTACTCTGAATTTCTATTAAATTCATCCTGTAATCATCTGCCCATTTCTACAGCTTGTCAAGGTTATTAGCAATCATTGTGGCACTTTAAACTCTCTCCAAGACTCCCAGTTCCCAAGTCATGGTACTTGGAATGTGATATTGTGCAACAGTTAAGAAAATCTAAAGTTGATCTTCAAGGTATCTAAAAGATCTCATGTAGTTCTCTGGACTTTATGAGCTGTTCAAAGGAATAAATATAAACCATTTTCCATTCGCTGGTTGAATTAAGAGTTGCCACTAACATTTCTGGAATGGAAGAGTGTATTTTATTTAGAACTACCTTCGTTTAATTCAGGAATTTGATGTCGGTTATACCCTGGATCAGGCCCCACTGTTGTCTTATCTCTGAATCACTTCAATATTTTTGAATTGTGAAACCAGAGCATGTGGAATAACTGGAATAACCAGAAATATGACTAAAACTTGAAAACATATTCCTTATCTTACCACCCAAATTCCCCAGTATAAGAAAGTAAGAAAAGATAAAAATTATTTTTCTTAGTATGAAAGAGGAACAACTAATCAAAATCTTCACTACAGTATTCTTCTCTAGTAAAGAGTTAAAATAACCCCATGAGAAATAGTAGCATCCATTAACAGTAGTTATCTGTTTTGTTCCTAAATCTGTGTTCACCTTGCCCTGTGCATTTTTCAAAAATTCAAAAATAACCTGTTAAGACATGCGTATATGTGACTAATTCCTATGGGAATTCCAAAACTTAAAAAGAGGCAGCTGCAACTGACCCTACTGCCCTTTTTGTAGAATGACTTTTTCTTATCTACAAGTCCAATGGTGCAAGCTGTACAAACCTGATTTAGGAAGAATGGTGAGGAAAGGAAAATGAAATGTGAAAGAAATTCTGGTCTGCCAGAGCATTAGGCATGTGTTAGCTTAGCTAACTCAGTCCCAAAACTTGAGACCTAGCCTAATAGCCACTCCAATGCTAGAATTTCAAGTCCAGAGTCCCAGCAACAACTTCAGTCAAACTGCAAATTATTCCCAGCTGGAAGAATCTTGAGAAGCCAGTTTGACCTAGAGATGCAAGTATGTGTTGGCTGGATGAGGAGACAGAGGTAAATGAGAGTCACAGATGGTTCCAGAATAAAGGATGATTTTTTATGCTAGAAACTCATATGGCTCAAAGAGGTATGGATAGGCTACAACTTTGAAGTGGGACTAGAATTGAACTAGCCTTTGAGATTGGATAGTATGGCATATATTGTGAGGAAATTTACCTTAAGGTATTCACCTGCCTTTGGACATACCAATAGTCACATATAAGCAACACATGCCAAATCTTTCTTCCTTCATCATCAGGAAGATGATAGAATCCCTGTAGAGCAGTGGTTCTCAACCTTGGCTGCACATTAGAATCACCTGGGAATCTTTTTAAAATCCTGATTTCTGGGCCCCATCCTCCGGAAATTCTGTTTCTTTGTTATGGGGTAGGGCCACAACATTAGTAACAAAGAAACAGAATTTCCGGAGGATGAGGCCCAGAAATCAGGATTTTAAAAAGATTCCCAGGTGATTCTAATGTGCAGCCAAGGTTGAGAACCACTGCTGTAGAGTATGAGGGATGTTGAATTCCTCCTCGATGAAGGATTTAAAGGTATTTCTGCTGTTTTTTTAGCTACTGTAAAAATCTTTTAGGTTCAGATAAAATAGGCATTCTGGAAGTAGCACAACTAATTAATTTCTCTTATGCCAATGCTATAAAGCAAGCATGTCAAACTCTTGGCCCGTGGGCTGCATGCGGCCCACAATGAATATTTTTTGCAGCCCAGCCAATATAACGGTATGTAAGAAATGTTTTAATAAAAATTTTGTAACTTAATTTTTACAATATAAACGTTCGCTAATGACTGATTACTATAATCGTGCTGCATTCATTTCCCTTATGCGCCTTCCGCACAGGCACACCATTTCTCTCCACTAATACTAGCAGCGAATATTTTAGCAGCCGATTGCCACGTCATTAGTCTTAGACTGACTTGCTTGGTGTGCGCAACAGGAAATAGTTCGCTTTCGGAGAACAAGAAAAATAGGCTTATTTGCGATACGCTTATTAATTTGTGCAGTTATTCAGTGTCTGGTAAGTTAATGTTCAAGAAAAAATATTAAATTTTTATTAAAATGTTCTATTATGTTAACGATTACTCATTTATTTCAGCCCTTTGTAGTCAGCATGTCTCTATCGAAATAAACCTACATTTCTATGAAGATTGAAGCTTTTATTTTTTTTTTTGCTGCCCACATAAACTTAAATCTCGTTTATTTGGCCTGTGTTAGCCTTTGAGTTTGACATGCTTGCTGTAAAGCATAATACATGGGGAACAAACTTGGTACCTTGGTAGGTCAAAGGAAGGCAGATAACAATCAGCATATTTTTCATTAATCCTCCTTTCCCTAAATGTGCAAAGTGGGAAGAAAACTCCCTATATCCTCGCTTTTGCTACTGTTATTCCTTTTTTTCTAATTAGATCTAGCCTTAGTATTGCACAGTACCAATGGAATAAAAAAGACATAATAAGGATAAGAATGTGGGAGTAGAGGAGGGACAAAACATTAAGGCGGAATAATCTAGAACAGAAAAGTGAGCTAGACGAGCTAAGAGAAACCAGCTATGGTGGAAATAATGTTTCCAACATGTAATTAAGCTCTAGCCAGTTTTGCTCAGTGGATAGAGCGTCGGCCTGTGGACCAAAGTGTCCCAGTTTGATTCCAGGCACATACCTTGGTTGCAGGCTCCTCCCTGGTCCAGGCCCTGATTGGGGTTCATGCAGGAGGCAACCAATCAATGTTGTTCTCACATCAATGTTTCTGTCTTTCCCTCTCTCTACCTCTCTCTCTAAAATCAATGAAAAAATATTCTAGGGTGAGGATTAAAAAAACAAAAGCTACATTAGCCAGGCCAGTTGGTTGAGGGTCTTCCCATGCACCAGGAGGTTGCAAAGTTCCATTCCCATGAGCCACATGTCCCAATTGCTGTTATATCCCCATTAGTGGGTGAGCAGGAGGCTGCCGATTGATGTTTCTCCCTTTCCCTTTGTCTCTCTCTAAATTTTTAAAAAACTATACTAACCCAGCTGGTAATATAAATCTCAACAAATTTGGTTCATTATTACCTCCCAAGGGTTATATTTGATTTTTCTTCATATCACTTCCTTCGAAATCCAGTAAATGTGTGAGATACAAAAAGAACAGGCTGACTTGGGGGAAAATTTTTTTCCCACTCTCCAATAGACAAATGCATCAGCATCAAGCCATTAGATGGTTTTAAGTAAAGGAGTTATGTGGTCAGTTTATGTTTTAAAAATTACTCTTGCTCTTATATGGAGAACAGGTTGCAAGGTATTACCAAAGAAAGCAGAGAAACCAGATAAGAGGGTGCGTCAATAAGGCAGGCAAGAGAATACTGGCAATGTGAACTAATGTAGAAAGAAGTGGATAGATTCAAGATATATTTTGTAAGTACATTCAACAAGATTTGCTGGTGATTGGATGACTTCTACTTTTTTCCTTTAGCCAATGAGCGGACATGGTGTCATTTGTTGAGATGGGAAAGATTTAGAGGAAGAGATATATTACAGAAAAGAAAGTGGAGAAATGAAGTGAAATTTTTCAGTTTTAAAAATGTTAAGTTTGACTTGCCTATGAGACATCCAAATGGAGATATAATCAATTAGATATAGGTGACTGAAGTTTGGAAGAACATGCAACGATATAGGTAGGAATTTGGGAACTGTTGGCACATAAATGGTATTGAAGGCCATGGAAATGAATGAGAACATCTAAATAGAGAGTAAACATAGAGAATAAATTTAGCAAGTGGTGGTTTGAAAGTGAGGAAGAGGGATGAAAAAGTAGCAGCTAGAGAGATGAGATAAAAACCAAGAGAAAGAGATGTCATACATGAGAGTTTTTTACAAAGGGAGATAGGAACAGTGCCATCTCTTATAGACTCATCAGTAAATTGAAGAACATAAAATAAAATAAAGAGCCACTATATGTGCCATCATGGAGAGAATTGATGGCCTTAACAGTAATTTCAGCAGAAGCCAGATTGAAATGTTTGAAGGGTCAATGGTAAATAAGAACTTGGAAGTAGAACTTAAAGACATTTGGCTATTAAAAATCAAATAAGATAATGGCTAGCAGCAAATGCAGAATCAAGAGAGTATTTTGTTTTCTACTTTCGGATGAGAATAAATAATATTTGTAAACAGAGTTATGATGCAATAAGGAAAGAAGATTAAAAATGTAGAAGAAAGTGAGGAAAACTAAATGGGCAAAATACTTGTCAAGGTGAGAAGGAGGAAGCTTCAGAGCATGCGATAGATGGTTTGGCCTTTGAAAAAAAGTATGGCCATTCCTTTTTTCTCCTTTCCCTTTTCTTTTTTTCTGTCTTCTCTTCTCTTCCCTTCATTTATCTATCATGCATCTATCTACCTCTATCTCCTTCTTTGTCTTTATTTCTAACATTATCTTTTCCTTCCTTTCTTGTTTAGTTCTGTTGTTTGTTTTTGTTTTTTTTTTGTTTGTTTGTTTTTTTTGAGGTAGGCAAAAAGAAGAAAGGGCAAGTAGAAGAAGATGAGTTTGTAGAAAAGGACACTAGAGGGTGATGGTATTCCCAGCTGAGAGCTCTTATTTCCCTGTAAAGCAAGATTTTAACATAAAGTGAAAGGGGCATGATGAAAAGGTATGAAATAGTCCTAACTGAGATTGGAGAGAAAAGTGTTACAGAAGAAGTGTCGGGGTTGCTCAACAATTTGAGAGGTTGGAGATCATGACTTCAGTCTGCCCATCTACGTGTGTGGTTATTTCCTGTAACACAAAGGTGTCGGCAGGCA